GCCCTAAAGAGCTACATACGTTACTTGAATTTGTCCCATAAGGCCTTAACAAACTTCTATGTCTTGGAAATTATTTTTCTCATAAGAACTTTAACAAACTTCAAAAATCAGTGACTGACAAAATTTACCTGAAAACCCTCACTCCCAGACACGAATTTCCCTGAAAACAAAAATTCCTCTGTGAGTCGTACGACTCACAGGGGAATTTCCAAATTCACCTGAAACCCCCACGACTCAGAGGGGAATTTTCTCCCAGAAAAAAAAATTCCCCTGTGAGTCTTACACCCTACTACTGGCGGCGTGGAGAGGTGGGGGGGGTGACGGCGTGGAGAGGTGGGGGTGGCGGCGTGGAGAGGTGGGGGGTGACGGCGTGGAGAGGTGGGGGGTGGCGGCGTGGAGAGGTGGGGGGGTGGCGGCGTGGAGAGGTGGGGGGTGACGGCGTGGAGAGGTGGGGGTGGCGGCGTGGAGAGGTGGGGGGTGACGGCGTGGAGAGGTGGGGGGTGGCGGCGTGGAGAGGTGGGGGGGGTGGCGGCGTGGAGAGGTGGGGGGTGACGGCGTGGAGAGGTGGGGGGGGGTGGCGGCGTGGAGAGGTGGGGGTGGCGGCGTGGAGAGGTGGGGGGTGGCGGCGTGGAGAGGTGGGGGGGTGGCGGCGTGGAGAGGTGGGGGGTGACGGCGTGGAGAGGTGGGGTGGCGGCGTGGAGAGGTGGGGGTGGCGGCGTGGAGAGGTGGGGGGTGGCGGCGTGGAGAGGTGGGGGGTGGCGGCGTGGAGAGGTGGGGGGTGACGGCGTGGAGAGATGGGGGGGGGGGGTGGCGGCGTGGAGAGGTGGGGGTGGCGGCGTGGAGAGGTGGGGGGTGGCGGCGTGGAGAGGTGGGGGGTGACGGCGTGGAGAGGTGGGTGGGGGTGGCGGCGTGGAGAGGTGGGGGTGACGGCGTGGAGAGGTGGGGGTGGCGGCGTGAAGAGGTGGGGGGTGACGGCGTGGAGAGGTGGGGGGTGACGGCGTGGGGAGTGGCGGCGTGGAGAGGTGGGGGTGGCGGCGTGGAGAGGTGGGGGGGTGGCGGCGTGGAGAGGTGGGGGGGTGGCGGCGTGGAGAGGTGGGGGTGGCGGCGTGGAGAGGTGGGGGGTGGCGGCGTGGAGAGGGGGGGGGTGACGGCGTGGAGAGGGGGGGGGGGGTGACGGCGTGGAGAGGTGGGGGGGGTGGCGGCGTGGAGAGGTGGGGGGTGACGGCGTGGAGAGGTGGGGGGGGGTGGCGGCGTGGAGAGGTGGGGGGTGACGGCGTGGAGAGGTGGGGGGGTGGCGGCGTGGAGAGGTGGGGGGGGTGGCGGCGTGGAGAGGTGGGGGGTGACGGCGTGGAGAGGTGGGGGGGGTGGCGGCGTGGAGAGGTGGGGGGTGACGGCGTGGAGAGGTGGGGGTGGCGGCGTGGAGAGGTGGGGGTGGCGGCGTGGAGAGGTGGGGGGTGACGGCGTGGAGAGGTGGGGGGGGGTGGCGGCGTGGAGAGGTGGGGGTGGCGGCGTGGAGAGGTGGGGGGTGGCGGCGTGGAGAGGTGGGGGGGGGGTGGCGGCGTGGAGAGGTGGGGGGTGACGGCGTGGAGAGGTGGGGGGGTGTGGCGGCGTGGAGAGGTGGGGGGGGGGTGGCGGCGTGGAGAGGTGGGGGGTGGCGGCGTGGAGAGGTGGGGGGTGGCGGCGTGGAGAGGTGGGGGGTGGCGGCGTGGAGAGGTGGGGGGTGACGGCGTGGAGAGGTGGGGGGGTGTGTGGCGGCGTGGAGAGGTGGGGGGGGTGGCGGCGTGGAGAGGTGGGGGGGGGGGGGTGGCGGCGTGGAGAGGTGGGGGTGGCGGCGTGGAGAGGTGGGGGGTGGCGGCGTGGAGAGGTGGGGGGTGGCGGCGTGGAGAGGTGGGGGGGGTGGCGGCGTGGAGAGGTGGGGGTGGCGGCGTGGAGAGGTGGGGGGTGGCGGCGTGGAGAGGTGGGGGGTGACGGCGTGGAGAGGTGGGGGGGGTGGCGGCGTGGAGAGGTGGGGGTGGCGGCGTGGAGAGGTGGGGGGTGACGGCGTGGAGAGGTGGGTGGGGGTGGCGGCGTGGAGAGGTGGGGGTGATGGCGTGGAGAGGTGGGGGTGGCGGCGTGGAGAGGTGGGGGGTGGCGGCGTGGAGAGGTGGGGGGGGGGGTGGCGGCGTGGAGAGGTGGGGGGGGGGGTTGCGGCGTGGAGAGGTGGGGGGGGTGGCGGCGTGGAGAGGTGGGGGGTGGCGGCGTGGAGAGGTGGGGGGTGGCGGCGTGGAGAGGTGGGGGGTGACGGCGTGGAGAGGTGGGGGGGTGGCGGCGTGGAGAGGTGGGGGGGTGGCGGCGTGGACAGGTGGGGGTGGCGGCGTGGAGAGGTGGGGGGTGACGGCGTGGAGAGGTGGGGGTGGCGGCGTGGAGAGGTGGGGGGGTGGCGGCGTGGAGAGGTGGGGGGTGACGGCGTGGAGAGGTGGGTGGGGTGGTGGCGTGGAGAGGTGGGGGTGATGGCGTGGAGAGGTGGGGGTGGCGGCGTGGAGAGGTGGGGGGTGGCGGCGTGGAGAGGTGGGGGGTGACGGCGTGGAGAGGTGGGGGGGTGGCGGCGTGGAGAGGTGGGGGGTGGCTGCGTGGAGAGGTGGGGGTGGCGGCGTGGAGAGGGGGGGGGGTGGCGGCGTGGAGAGGTGGGGGTGGCGGCGTGGAGAGGTGGGGGGTGACGGCGTGGAGAGGTGGGGGGGTGGCGGCGTATAAAGGTGGGGGTGGCGGCGTGGAGAGGTGGGGGGTGACGGCGTGGAGGGGTGGTGATTGGGCGGGCCGTAGAGGAATTGGTGGGGGGGTTGGGGGGGGGGGCATAACATAATCAAGAGGCAGGAGTGGGTGGGGGGGGGGGAGGCGGTTGGGCTTGGGGGGGGGAGGTGGGGCTTTGGGGGGGGAGGAGGTAAGAGCTAAGGTGTGGTCGATAATATATAGAATGTGGGAAAGGGTGTGGTAGAGCGGGTTAATGGGGAGGTGCTGAGTAATGGGGGAGGTGCTGAGTAATGGGGAGGTGCTGAGTAATGGGGGAGGTGCTGAGTAATGGGGAGGTGCTGAGTAATGGGGGAGGTGCTGAGTAATGGGGAGGTGCTGAGTAATGGGGAGGTGCTGAGTAATGGGGGAGGTGCTGAGTAATGGGGAGGTGCTGAGTAATGGGGGAGGTGCTGAGTAATAGGGAGGTGCTGATAAATGGGGAGGTGCTGAGTAATGGGGGAGGTGCTGAGTAATGGGGGAGGTGCTGAGTAATGGGGGAGGTGCTGAGTAATGGGGAGGTGCTGATTAATGGGGAGGTGCTGAGTAATGGGGGAGGTGCTGAGTAATGGGGAGGTGCTGAGTAATGGGGGAGGTGCTGAGTAATGGGGAGGTGCTGAGTAATGGGGGAGGTGCTGAGTAATAGGGAGGTGCTGATAATGGGGAGGTGCTGAGTAATGGGGGAGGTGCTGAGTAATGGGGGAGGTGCTGAGTAATGGGGAGGTGCTGAGTAATGGGGAGGTGCTGATAAATGGGGAGGTGGTGAGTAATGGGGGAGGTGCTGAGTAATGGGCGAGGTGCTGAGTAATGGGGGAGGTGCTGAGTAATGGGGGAGGTGCTGAGTAATGGGGAGGTGCTGAGTAATGGGAGAGGTGCTGAGTAATGGGGGAGGTGCTGAGTAATGGGGGAGGTGCTGAGTAATGGGGGAGGTGCTGAGTAATGGGGGAGGTGCTGAGTAATGGGGAGGTGCTGAGTAATGGGGGAGGTGCTGAGTAATGGGGAGGTGCTGAGTAATGGGGGAGGTGCTGAGTAATGGGGGAGGTGCTGAGTAATGGGGGAGGTGCTGAGTAATGGGGAGGTGCTGAGTAATGGGAGAGGTGCTGAGTAATGGGGAGGTGCTGGTGCTGAGTAATGGGGGAGGTGCTGAGTAATGGGGGAGGTGCTGAGTAATGGGGAGGTGCTGAGTAATGGGGAGGTGCTGAGTAATGGGGGAGGTGCTGAGTAATGGGGGAGGTGCTGAGTAATGGGGAGGTGCTGAGTAATGGGGAGGTGCTGAGTAATGGGGAGGTGCTGATTAATGGGGAGGTGCTGAGTAATGGGGAGGTGCTGAGTAATGGGGAGGTGCTGAGTAATGGGGAGATGCTGAGTAATGGGGGAGGTGCTGAGTAATGGGGAGGTGCTGAGTAATGGGGAGGTGCTGAGTAATGGGGAGTGCTGCTGGGGAGGTGCTGTAATGGGGAGGTGCTGAGTAATGTGGAGATGGGGAGATGCTTAGTAATGGGGGAGGTGCTGAGTAATGGGGAGTAATGCTGAGTAATGGGGGAGGTGCTGAGTAATGGGGAGGTGCTGAGTAATGGGGAGGTGCTGAGTAATGGGGAGGTGCTGAGTAATGGGGAGGTGCTGAGTAATGGTGGAGGTGCTGAGTAATGGGGAGGTGCTGAGTAATGGGGAGGTGCTGAGTAATGGGGAGGTGCTGAGTAATGGGGAGGTGCTGAGTAATGGGGGAGGTGCTGAGTAATGGGGAGGTGCTGATTAATGGGGAGGTGCTGAGTAATGGGGAGATGCTGAGTAATGGGGAGGTGCTGAGTAATGGGGAGATGCTGAGTAATGGGGAGGTGCTGATAAATGGGGAGGTGCTGAGTAATGGGAGAGATGCTGAGTAATGGGGAGGTGCTGAGTAATGGGAGAGATGCTGGGAAATGGGATGTTCTGAATAATTGGATAATGATGAATATTGGGAAGGGGGCAGGTGCAGGGGGGGCTACAATATGGTGATAGACTACTGTATGGTAATTGTATATTGATGTTATGATGGGTGCATGGGGGCTCTGGCGATGGTATGGGGGTGGTAGCATAGAGGGGGGTGTGTGGGGGCCTGGTGGGGCTAAAGAGAGAGAGAGAGAGAGAGAGAGAGAGAGAGAGAGAGGGAGAGGGAGGGAGGGAACCTTGGACCGCAGGTTTCCAAAGCCTTATTAAACAGGTTTAACGCCGAGCGCAAGCAGTCTGCGTCATCCACCTCAGGGCCGGAGTTCATACATTGTGTCCTTCACGCTCCCAACCTCCTCATCCGGACCTTGAACCTCCTCATCCGGATCTTCAACCTCCTCATCCGGATCTTCAACCTCTTCATCCGGATCTTCAACCTCCTCATCCGGACCTTGAACCTCCTCATCCGGATCTTCAACCTCCTCATCCGGATCTTCAACCTCTTCATCCGGATCTTCAACCTCTTCATCCGGATCTTCAACCTCTTCATCCGGATCTTCAACCTCCTCATCCGGATCTTCAACCTCCTCATCCGGATCTTCAACCTCCTCATCCGGACCTTGAACCTCCTCATCCGGATCTTCAACCTCCTCATCCGGATCTTCAACCTCCTCATCCGGATCTTCAACCTCCTCATCCGGATCTTCAACCTCCTCATCCGGATCTTCAACCTCCTCATCCGGATCTTCAACCTCCTCATCCGGATCTTCAACCTCATCCGGACCTTCAACCTCCTCATCCGGATCTTCAACCTCCTCATCCGGATCTTCAACCTCCTCATCCGGACCTTCAACCTCATCCGGACCTTCAACCTCCTCATCCAGATCTTCAACCTCCTCATCCGGATCTTCAACCTCCTCATCCGGACCTTGAACCTCCTCATCCGGATCTTCAACCTCCTCATCCGGATCTTCAACCTCCTCATCCGGATCTTCAACCTCCTCATCCGGATCTTCAACCTCCTCATCCGGATCTTCAACCTCCTCATCCGGATCTTCAACCTCCTCATCCGGACCTTGAACCTCCTCATCCGGATCTTCAACCTCCTCATCCGGATCTTCAACCTCCTCATCCGGATCTTCAACCTCCTCATCCGGATCTTCAACCTCCTCATCCGGATCTTCAACCTCATCCGGACCTTCAACCTCCTCATCCGGATCTTCAACCTCCTCATCCGGATCTTCAACCTCCTCATCCGGACCTTGAACCTCCTCATCCGGATCTTCAACCTCCTCATCCGGATCTTCAACCTCCTCATCCGGATCTTCAACCTCCTCATCCGGATCTTCAACATCATCCGGACCTTCAACCTCCTCATCCGGATCTTCAACCTCCTCATCCGGACCTTGAACCTCCTCATCCGGACCTTGAACCTCCTCATCCGGATCTTCAACCTCCTCATCCGGATCTTCAACCTCCTCATCCTGATCTTCAACCTCCTCATCCGGATCTTCAACCTCCTCATCCGGATCTTCAACCTCCTCATCCGGACCTTCAACCTCCTCATCCGGATCTTCAACCTCCTCATCCGGATCTTCAACCTCATCCGGACCTTCAACCTCCTCATCCGGATCTTCAACCTCCTCATCCGGATCTTCAACCTCCTCATCCGGATCTTCAACCTCCTCATCCGGATCTTCAACCTCCTCATCCGGACGTTCAACCTCCTCATCCGGATCTTCAACCTCCTCATCCGGATCTTCAACCTCCTCATCCGGATCTTCAACCTCCTCATCCGGACCTATAACCTCATTATCCGGTTTCACAACATATTCATCCGAACTCTCATCCTCATTTTTAGGTTCCGGACCAGAACATCCGGATTCACAATCATCCGACTCTCATCATGATGCGGATGTGATCATCTTCATGCGGCCATCTTCAGCTTCTAAGATAACTTCTTCATTCTTAGCTTCTAAGATAACTTCTTCATTCTTAGCTTCTAAGATAACTTCTTCACTCTTAGCTTCTAAGATAACTTCTTCACTCTTAGCTTCTAAGATAACTTATTCACTCTTAGCTTCTAAGATAACTTCTTCATTCTTTGCTTCTAAGATAACTTCTTCACTCTTTGCTTTTAAGATAACTTCTTCACTCTTAGCTTCTAAGATAACTTCTTCACTCTTAGCTTCTAAGATAACTTATTCACTCTTAGCTTCTAAGATAACTTCTTCATTCTTTGCTTCTAAGCTAACTTCTTCACTCTTAGCTTCTAAGATAATTAACACAAATTTTCTGAAATACCTTAATTACCCTTCCAGACCTGTTAACTACCACACAACTGCTTATACATTAGCCTTAACTATCGCTGAGGTCAGTGCTGCTCCGCCTGTCAGATTATCTTGCTGTCCAACACGAGCATGCTGTCTGTCGGCATCTGTCCAACACCCAGTTGTCACCTGTTTGTCACCTGTCTCTTGTGGGAACCAGACTATCTACCGTCCCATTAGCTGTCCGTCACCTGCCAACACCTGTTTGTCACCTGTCGGTAATCTGTCTGGGTTGTCCAGCCACCTGACTAACGCCACCTGGCTGCCGTCTGTCAGACTACACCAACTGTTCTCCTGCAGCCATTAATTCACGCATACGTGCGTGCGCACCCATAGCCTCGGAGAAGAAAATATGGAGTATTCAGAGAAGACCGTGTGGATTCACACTGAACACTAATATTTTCTTCTACCACCCCCAGTCTTTTGAATATACATATATATATATATATATATATTTGTTTTATTTAAACTTTGTTACAAAAAAAAAAGAGTTACATATAGGGTACAAAGATGATTATCACAAGTTGTCGAGTTCCTCCAGCTCCTCAGATGGCGGGCAGGAACCCTGGATGCAGGGTGCATTTCCCCTCTGTGTCGCCACGCTGAGGCGCTGGAAAAGGAAGCTGGCAGCTCTAGTGTCCCTTATTGTTTCAGTTAGCCTAGAACCCAGTTTATACATATATATATATATATATATATATATATATATATATATATATATATATATATATATATATATATATATATATATATATATATATATATATATATATAATATGTACTCACCTATTTTTGCTTGCGGGGGTTAAAATTTGGCTCTTTGGGTTCGCCTCTCAACCGTCAGTCAACTGATAGACAGATTCCTGAGCCTACTGGGCTCTATCATATCTACATTTGAAACTGTGTATGGAGTCAGCCTCCACCACATCACTGCCTAATGCATTCCATTTAATAACTACTTTGACACTGAAAACGTTCTTTCTAATGTCTCTGTAGCTCGTTTGGGTACTCAGCTTCCACCTGTGTCCCCTTGTGTGTGTGTGTGTGTGTGTGTGTGTGTGTGTGTGTGTGTGTGTGTGTGTGTGTAATTGCCTAAGTGTAGTTACAGGATGAGAGCTACGCTCGTGGTGTCCCGTCTTCCCAGTACTCTTTGTCATATAATACTTTGAAACTACTGACGGTTTTGGCCTCCACCACCTTCTCACTTAACTTGTTCCAACCGTCTACCACTCTGTTTACAAAAGTGAATTTTCTTATATTTCTCCGGCAGCTTTGTTTCGTGAGTTTAAATCTATGACCTCTTGTTCTTGAAGTTCCGGGTCTCAGGAATTCTTCCCTATCAATTTTATCGATTCCTGTTACTGTTTTGTATGTAGTGATCATATCACCTCTTTTTCTTCTGTCTTCCAGTTTTTGCATATTTAATGCCTCTAACCTCTCCTCGTAGCTCTTGCCCTTCAGTTCGGGGAGCCACTTAGTGGCGTGTCGTTGCACCTTTTTCCAGTTTGTTGATGTGCTTCTTAAGATATGGGCACCACACAACCGCTGCATATTCCAGCTTTGGTCTAACAAAAGTCGTGAACAATTTCTTTATTTCTCCATCCATGTATTTAAAAGCAACTCTGAAGTTGGAAAGTGTAGCATAGGCTCCTCGCACAATGTTCTTAATGTGGTCCTCAAGTGACAATTTTCTATCTAGAATCACCCCTAGATCCCTTTCTTTGTCAGAATTCTTTAAAGATTTCTCACTTAATTTATAGGTTGTGTGGGTCTATGTTCTCCAATTCCACATTCCATAACATGGCATTTATTCACATGTTCATATAATTCTGTATTCCAACTGGTAGATCGTTTATGTAGACAATGAACATCACTGGTGCAAGAACTGAACCCTGTGGTACTCCACTCGTGACATTTCTCCTATCCGATACATTGCCTCTGATCACTGCCCTCATTTTTCTGTCAGTCAGGAAATTTTTCATCCATGTTAGAAGCTTACCTGTCACCCCTCCAACATGTTCCAGTTTCCAGGATAACCTCTGATGTGGAACTCTGTCGAAAGCTTTTTTAGGTCCAGATAGATGCAGTCAACCCAACCATCTCTTTCCTATAAAATCTCTGTGGCTTGATCATAGAAACTGAGTACGTTCGTTACACAGGATCTTCCGGATCGAAAACCATACTGTCTGTCTGATATTATATCGTTTTTCTCCAGGTGTTCTACTTTTAATTATTTTTTTCAATATTTTGACTTTTACAGTTGTCAATGATACAGGTCTATAATTAAGGGGGTCTTCCCTGCTGCCACTTTTGTAGATTGGAACTATGTTACCCTTTTTCCACACATCAGCTACAACTCCTGTAAATAGGGATGCCTGAAAAATCACTTGAAGTGGAATGCTGAGTTCAGATGCACATTCTCTTAGAACTCATGGTGAAACTCCATCTGGACCAACTGCTTTGTTCTTACTTAGCTCCTTGAGCATTCTTTCCACTTCGTCTCTAGACACCTCTATCTGCTCTATGTTGTTCTCTGGAATTCTTATTGTGTCTGGTACGCTGAAGATTTTATTTTGTACAAACACACTTTGGAACTTTTCGTTTAATGTTTCACACATTGTGTGTGTGTGTGTGTGTGTGTGTGATAAAGAGATATAGTGAAATAACAATTGTAGTTGCCATTTTAGTTTAAATTGATTGAATGCAGAATGGAAATTGCTAGTTGTGTTAGTGATAGAAGGGGTAAATTGGGGAAGAGAGGAAGGGGCGGGGAGTAGGGGGAGACGGGGAAAATCACTGAGTGTTTTTGGAATCTTAAATTTTTGGAGTAGGCAAAATATGTTGTGCGTGTTATCACGAAGACGTATTCACCTAGGTGTATTCACCTTGAGATATCTTGAGATGATTTCGGGGCTTAGCGTCCCCGCGGCCCGGTCCTGGACCAGGCCTCCTTTGTCCATGTGTTGCTTGCTGGTGGGCTGTCGATATTTTCCATTATCAGTTTATTATCCTGATTCCCAACCTGCAATTTCAATATGTCAACTTCTCGAGGATTTTCGGTTATTAACTCTCTTACTTCAGGGTGTTCTTTCACCAGCACAGCCACTCCTCCCTTCCTAGTTTTCCTGTCACGTCTCCAAACTGAGTAGCCCCTTGGATATACACACTCATTTTAAGTATTTTCTTCAAGTTTGGTCTCTGTTAGGGCGACAAGATCTGGAACTTTAAGCTGAATTATATATTTTAACTCCAATATTTTTTATCTCACTCCATCTATGTTGGAATATACAATTTTCAGGAACATGTTCCCTTTCTCTTTGTATTTTACTCTCCCTTCCTTTAATGATTTTGTTGCTTTGTTATTATGTACCATTTCACTAGCATTCCAGTCCCTTTGTTGAACAAAAAAATTATTTCTTCTTCATTTCTATTCCCATTTAGACGTTTCAATGCATTGAGGTTCATTTTCAGCTTTTCTCAGTCTTCCTTTGAGATGTCTTGTCTTATTGAACAAAGTTTGCCATCCTCATCTCACTGCAATTTCCAGGTATTTCTAATCATGTCTTTCCATCATGTCTTTCACTCTATTAAATGTCACTCTTAAGGGTCGGTTCTTGTCTTTCTCATATTTTCCTATCCTAAAGTCACTGACATTTTCCTTTGAATTTAGGCCTTTTCCTAAACCTACTATTTTCTCTATGATTTTCATCACTTCCGCTGCTCTGTCCACCCTAGATGATATATCCTTTTCTAAACACCTGAAAAATAATTATGGACTTACTTCTATCTCAAACGTTTTGTATTAATGTGCTGTTAGTAACCAGTTCTTTCCTAATTCGCCCCTAATATCTGCTTCTTTTTAGTCATTTCTGGTTTTGACTTATAAACACACTTCCTTGATCGTCTCTTTTTCTGTTATAACTTGCACATACGTCTCAATTTATTTCCTCTTTGTACTTTTCTAGTTTTTTATTAACCTCTTTGTGAGTTGTTCACCAGGTTTCTCTTTTCATATCCTTACCTAACTCTGTGTGAGCCCTCAGGGTCCCTTGGATTTGTTCACCATATGAGTATTTTCTCGTTATTTTCTTCAAATTCACCACTCTTCACTTTCCATGCCTCGTTGTCTTTCACTGGTTCCTTGATTTGTGACTCCTGTCTCTTAACCTTATCAGTCATGCTGGTAATTTCCTTATCTTGCTGGAAAATACTGCTCCTTAAATTACGAAACACAATCTTGAGACCTTCATTTTCTTGCTCTAATCTAATTACCTTTTCTTCATAATCCTTTACTAGGTCGTCAATAATCACTAACCTGCCAAGAAAACCACCTTTCATTATCTCTTGTGCTGAGAATCCTTCATAACATTCTTGTGTAGGCGTGTTGTCCTCCCCTGTGGTGGCGGCCATTTTTATGTGTGTGTGTGTGTGTGTGTGTGTGTGTGTGTGTGTGTGTGTGTGTGTGTGTGTGTGTGTGTGTGTGTGTGTGTGTGTGTTTGCCCTAACTGGTCGTCATACCTGAAATGATCCACGAATGTTTATGGTTGATGACGCTAATGTTGCGCTAGCTGGCACATGTGGTGTACATGTGTCCCTCCCCCCCCCCCCCTCCTGTTCCCTAGTATCCCCTCCCTCTCAGAAACCCCTCCTTCCTTTCCCCCCCCCCCTAATCCCCCCTTCCCACCTCCCCCTTCCCCTGAGCTGCGACATTCACCTTTACCCTATGTGTCAATGTATGTATACGTTCGCTGACTCGTCCGTCTCTCTGTAGTCCATTCGTGTTGATATGTTTCCATTTTTTGTCCAACCGGAGACTCCAACAGCTGTCACTCCCTCGTTCACTTGCCACCAGCCCTCTCGTTACGCTTCCGGTACCCACCACACTCAACCTAGGCCAAACAATCGTATATCAAATAATAAAAAAAAAAAACACATGTTTACGTTTTGGTGGGGAACAGAGGAGTGTCCGCGGTTGTGTTGATAACAGTAGAGTGGAGCCGGGGGTTCGTAGCCAGAGCTGGCTACAGTAGTAGAGGGGATTGAAGGGAGGGTTGTAGCCAGATTTGGTAACAGTAAATTGAAGGAGAAGGTTTGTAGCCAGAGTTGGTAACACCATGACGCGAAAAAAATCATTAAAAAACAAGCCGGTGTAGTCATTGTGTGTGTGTGTGTGTGTGTGTGTGTGTGTGTGTGTGTGTGTGTGTGTGTGTGTGTGTGTGTGTGACCTGCCTGAGGGATGGAAGGTGGGGCGGTGTGTGGTTATTGCTTGCTTGTGTGTGTTTGGGGGGGGGCGTGTGGGGGGGGGGTGGGTGGGGGGGGGGTGGGGGGGGGGACTGGGTGGAAGTTCTATTCGCATCGTTTTCTGCGGCGGTTAAGCTTTATCTCCCGGGTCCGATCTTTTAATCATCGTTAGCGTATTACGCTAAACTTCCTTTGCTTTCTCGTATCTAAAATTTGAAACCATACATGGAGTTAATATCCTCCTCCTGTAAGCCATACATGGAGTTAATATCCTCCTCCTGTAAACCATACATGGGGTTAGTATCCTCCTCCTGTAAACCATGCATGGGGTTAATATCCTCCTGTAAACCATACATGGAGTTAATGTCCTCCTCCTGTAAACCATACATGGAGTTAATGTCCTCCTCCTGTAAACCATACATGGAGTTAATATCCTCCTCCTGTAAACCATACATGGAGTTAATATCCTCCTCCTGTAAACCATACATGGGGTTAGTATCCTGTAAACCATGCATGGAGTTAATGTCCTCCTCCTGTAAACCATACATGGAGTTAATGTCCTCCTCCTGTAAACCATACATGGGGTTAATATCCTCCTCCTGTAAACCATACATGGGGTTAGTATCCTCCTCCTGTAAACCATACATGGGGTTAGTATCCTCCTCCTGTAAACCATACATGGAGTTAATATCCTCCTCCTGTAAACCATACATGGGGTTAGTATCCTCCTGTAAACCATACATGGAGTTAATAGCCTCCTCCTGTAAACCATACATGGAGTTAATATCCTCCTCCTGTAAACCATACATGGGGTTAGTAGCCTCCTGTAAACCATACATGGAGTTAATAGCCTCCTGTAAACCATACATGGAGTTAATATCCTCCTCCTGTAAACCATACATGGGGTTAGTATCCTCCTGTAAACCATACATGGAGTTAATAGCCTCCTCCTGTAAACCATACATGGGGTTAGTATCCTCCTGTAAACCATACATGGGGTTAACATGACTTGTCAGACTGAGTTTGTTGAACTCTGTTCTCTCAGGTGTTGGTTTACCTCTAGTCTCTTCCCTCTTGTTGGGACCTCTTCTCTTTCATTGGGACCTTGGGACCTCTCTTTTTCAATGGGACCATGGGACCTCTTCTCTTTCACTGGGACCTTGGGACCTCTTGTCTCACTGGGATCTTGGAACGTCTCTCTCTCTCTCTCTCTCTCTCTCTCTCTCTCTCTCTCTCTCGCTTGTGACTGTTGCTCTAGATCAGTTCTGAACACCTCTTTGAATTTCAGTGTTCACTTGTTCGCAGACTTCTTGTCGTCCTCAAGTCTGCTCCAGTCTGAACACCTGGTCGTCTGCGGACAACTTCTAGTGAGGTTGTGCCCTTGCTTGGCTTGCTATGTCAAGTTCATAAAGACATTTTTGTCCTCATATGATTATAAAACATAATTTTTCTGGCTCTTGTCCATTTCTCTTTTCTATTCTGCCCATCATGCTCCATATTTTTGTCTCTGTTTTTTTTTTGCTTTTTACTCGAGCTCGGCTTCCAGGAAGCGTTAAGTGAACCTTGAGCTGTCTCTGGGTTTCTTCTCATTCTGATTTTTGACTGAGGAGAATCTGTCTGTAATGCATTTCTGAGTGGCATCATACCTCATGTTATGTGCTTTTTTTCTCTTTGAGCTCAATGTGGAATTTTACACTAATTATGAACTATTATTTTCATCTGATTCCTCGTCTACATACTTGAAGCGTCACTAAATAGTCCCACATTCTTCCCCCGGCCTCATACTTGCAGTTTCATTAGATATTGGACCATCAAAGCACAGTGGTCTCTGGTCCGTGGAAGAAGAGTTTAAACCACTCTTCAGTGTCTTAAGCTGTTAAGAAAGAATGTCTGGTTGGCCGAGACTGGAGGCCAAAGGCCTGGGGCTAGCCACATTAATCTTTATATGATTAATAATTTTACCAGGGGCCAGATTCACGAAGCTGTTACGCAAGTACTTACTGACGTGTACATCTTTTCTCAATCATAGGCGGCTTTGTTTACAATTATTAAACTGTTAATAAGCTCGGAAGCACCAGGAGGCTGTTTATAACAATAACAACAGTTGATTGGGAAGTTTTCATGCTTGTAAACTGTTTAATAAATGTAACCAAAGCCGTCAAAGATTGAGGAAAGATGTACACGTTCGTAAGTACTTGCGTAACTGCTTCGTGAATCTGGCCCCAGGTCAGTCATAGGGAAGGGAGGGAGGGAGGGAAAATGGGAGGGAGAGAGACAGAGAGATGGACAGACAGGCGAACAGAGACCCGGGTACTGCTGGGCACACAGTCTAGTTTACATTTATTAAGAGAGAATATCTGTTTGACTGTCCAAGGTTGAAGGCCAGACACCTGGGTGGTCAACCTCACCCAACTTTACAGGGTGAAAGTTCTTGGGTATAGGAAGAACATAGGCTGGTCGAGGTAGCCAGTATTCGAGAGGCAACGGCGCGCCATTGTCGCTTACCGACCCAAACGACTCTTTTGGGCACTGCTCGCTAGCTATGCTATGCTAAATATTTAAAAAATGTAAATTTCAAAACCATTTTTTCTGATAGTAATATGAAAATTTATTCACTGATCTTGGGAAAACTAAGATATCTTAATACATCTAGTCATACACTGCCTATAGGAGCATAAACCAGATACTCCTCCCACAGCTTCTAAGACTTCATCAAAACCAATGGTAAGTTATTAAGTCTTTAAATGTTTCAGGGAAGGGAGAGGAAATGAAATGGATGTGACTGGTGGAGATCTATTTTCTATTATATTATTTAAGCGCGTTATACATTGATATCAGGAAAATATTTTATGCATGATACTCTTCAAGATATTACTAGTGCTCCATCGGCTGGAATATTGTTGCACAATAACAGCCCAGTTGAAATCTGTATTCTGTAGAGTGCCCAGGCGAGAGAGATACATAATAACCTACACCTGGAAATTATTAGAGGGACTGGTTCCAAATCAGCACACAAAAATAACATCACCTGAAAACAAGAGGCATGGCAGGATGTGCAGAATAGTCGCGTTCAAAATCAGCGGTGCAAAAGCCATGCTGTGAGATAAGTTCATCAACATCAAAGCCCCCAAGACTTTTTAACATGCTCCCACTACTAATAAGGGCATAACTGATTGACTTCTCAGTGTTCAAAAAAGAACTGAACAGCTTGAAAGGATACCTGAGCAATCAGGCTGTGAGCAGCCACATGCAACAGTCTGGTTGACCAGATCGCCCACCAGGAGGCCTGGTCAGACACCAGGCGGCGGGGACGTTGACCCTCAGAACAGTCACCAGGGAACCACAAGGTATGGCCGTAAAGAGCAAAAACTCATCATTTTAAACTGAGCCTCTACAATCTTAAAGGTCCCGCCCCTTTCCAAAGGTCCCGCCCCTTTCCAAAGGTCCCGCCCCTTTCCGCCCCTTTCCAAAGGTCCCGCCCCTTTCCAAAGGTCCCGCCCCTTTCCAAAGGTCCCGCCCCTTTCCAAAGGTCCCGCCCCTTTCCAAAGGTCCCGCCCCTTTCCAAAGGTCCCGCCCCTTTCCAAAGGTCCCGCCCCTTTCCAAAGGTCCCGCCCCTTTCCAAAGGTCCCGCCCCTTTCCAAATGGCAACTGGAAATTATTATATTTATTTATATTTCACACCGCTAAGTTCCTCCCTCCTGCCAACCACTGCACAACAATGGGAACTGTTATATTATTTTATAAGAGAGAGAGAGAGAGACAGACAGGACAGACAGAGAGAGAGAGAGAGAGAACAGACAGACAGATGAGAGAGAGAGAGAGACAGACAGACAGACAAACCAAGATAGGCTTGCAGAGAGACTGGGTCGACCAAGGCGAAAAGAGAGACAGACAGGAAGATACTGTAGAAAAACACAGACAACAACATCACACTGAGACGGATAAACAGAGACATACAGACATAGACAGAATAAAGATAGGGAGAGAAGTAAGGAGGTGGAGAGGGGGGGGGGGATGTTTGAAGAGCGTGAAGGAGAGAAGGGGGATACAGGTGGAGAAGGAAGAAGAGATGAGGAAAGATGAGACAGGTGAAGATTTGGAGTGGACGACAGAAGGAGGAGAGAGAGAGAGAGAGAGAGAGAGAGAGAGAGAGAGAGGGAAGAGAGACCTAGGTACCCCAATAGTATGCTATAAGTGAATAATCGTTCCAAAATGACCGCTTAGTCGTCTGCTTGATAGTCCTTTGACACATTACACCATTTATTTCTGCTGTATCTACTAGTTCTGTTCTTCATGGCAATTCCAGGAAGAACAGTCTCTCATCTCTCTCACACAGTCTCTCTGTGTGAGTCTCTCATCTCCCAGTTTAATTCACCATAAATACAGTCTACGAGTTATGGGTTTTGGTTAAGTTCTCTTTGCAGACCTTCCTCTCTCTGCTGCTGGTGTAGACTGAATTGTAATTTTCACATTCCTGCCGGGTGTGATATCTCTGGTGTGTTGATGCTGTTTTGTGTTCCACCTGGTGTTGCTGGTGTGTGGTGTTGCTGGTGTGTGGTGTGTTGCTGGTGTGTGGTGTGTTGCTGGTGTGTGGTGTGTTGCTGGTGTGTGGTGTGTTGCTGGTGTGTGTGGTGTTGCTGGTGTGTGTGGTGTTGCTGGTGTGGTGTGTGTTGCTGGTGGTGTTGCTGGTGTGTTGCTGGTGGTGTGTGGTGTTGCTGGTGTGTGTGGTGTGTGCTGGTGTGTGTGGTGTGTTGCTGGTGTGTGTGGTGTTGCTGGTGTGTGGTGTGTTGCTGGTGTGTGGTGTTGCTGGTGTGTGTGGTGTTGCTGGTGTGTGTGGTGTTGCTGGTGTGTGTGGTGTTGCTGGTGTGTGTGGTGTTGCTGGTGTGTGTGTTGGTGGTGTTGCTGGTGTGTGGTGTTGCTGGTGTGTGTGGTGTTGCTGGTGTGTGTGGTGTTGCTGGTGTGTGTGGTGTGGGTGTGTGGTGTTGCTGGTGTGTGTGGTGTTGCTGGTGTGTGTGGTGTTGCTGGTGTGTGTGGTGTTGCTGGTGTGTGTGGTGTTGCTGGTGTGTGTGGTGTTGCTGGTGTGTGTGGTGTTGCTGGTGTGTGTGGTGTTGCTGGTGTGTGGTGTGTTGCTGGTGTGTGTGTTGCTGGTGTGCTGTGTTGCTGGTGTGTGGTGTTGCTGGTGTGTGTGGTGTTGGTGTGTGTGGTGTTGCTGGTGTGTGGTGTGTGTTGCTGGTGTGTGTGGTGTTGCTGGTGTGTGTGGTGTGTTGCTGTGTGTGGTGTGTGTGGTGTGTGTGTGTTGCTGTGTGTGGTGTTGCTGGTGTGTGTGGTGTTGCTGGTGTGTGTGTGTTGCTGGTGTGTGTGTGTTGCTGGTGTGTGGTGGTGTTGCTGTGTGTGGTGTGTTGCTGGTGTTGTGGTGTGTTGCTGGTGTGTGTGGTGTTGCTGGTGTGTGTGGTGTTGCTGGTGTGTGTGGTGTTGCTGGTGTGTGTGGGTGTTGCTGGTGTGTGGTGGTGCTGGTGTGTGTGTGGTGTTGCTGGTGTGTGGTGGTGTTGCTGGTGTGTGGTGTGTTGCTGTGTGTGGTGTTGCTGGTGTTGCTGTGTGTGTGGGGTGTGCTGGTGTTGCTGGTGTTGCTGGTGTTGCTGGTGTGTGTGGTGTTGCTGGTGTTTGCTGGTGTGTGTGGTGTTGCTGGTGTGTGTGGTGTTGCTGGTGTGTGGTGTTGCTGGTGTGTGTGGTGTTGCTGGTGTGTGTGGTGTTGCTGGTGTGTGTGGTGTTGCTGGTGTGTGTGGTGTTGCTGGTGTGTGTGGTGTTGCTGGTGTGTGTGGTGTTGCTGGTGTGATTGTATTTCTTCTGGAAATACAATATTAGTTTCGGTTCTGAATTTTCGACTTCAATGCTGTGGTAGTTCTTGTGTGTGTGTACTCACCTAGTTGTGCTTGCGGGGGTTGAGCTCTGGCTCTTTGGTCCCGCCTCTCAACTGTCAATCAACAGGTGAACAGATTCCTGAGCCTACTGGGCTCTATCATATCTACACTTGAAGCTGTGTATGGAGTCAGCCTCCACCACATCACTGCCTAATGTATTCCATTTGTTTACTACTCTGACACTGAAAAAAATCTTTCTAACGTCTCTATGGCTCATTTGGGCACTCAATTTCCCTCACACTAAATTGTGTGTGTGTGTATATATTATATATTTCTCCCTAAAACACACACACACACATCCCCTAGAAGCAGCCCCTAGCAGGTCTAACTCTCAGGTACCTGTTTACTGCTAGGTGAACAGGTGCAAGAAGTGAGAGAAACTCTGCCATGTGTGTGTGCGCGCGCATGTTTGTGCAAATAACAAAACAAAATAACACTAATTTCATCTATCCTGTTGACAGTGTCCAACTACCGCCTCTGCCTTCCCCCCTCCCCCCCCCCCCATCCCCCACACACACACTTCTCCGTACACACAATAGACCGTAAACTTCCCCCTACGGCCCGTCACGTACTAGCCAACGCCCACGTACACGTACACATCACCCCACGTACACATCACCCCACGTACACGTACACGCCACCCAGACCGTGCATTCTGCGAGGAACTGTCTGTTGACCAAGAGCGATAAACTTAACCCTTTTTTAAACCATCACAAGACCAGTACCTCTAACTGCCCCTCAATGACGTATAATTAGCCATAAACACCAATAAACTAGTGGAGCTACAACCACATTTAGGAAATAGAGAAAAGAAGAGACGGATAGAAAAGGAGGGGAGACAGAGAACGGGGATATCTTACTTTGTCACCTAAATCCGCCTGTATCAGCGTCATCACGAACGCTGGCAGGATTCCCTTTACAAGAACGTCAACAAACGAGACAAGGATATCCAGGCTGCGCTCAGGCGCCTTATGAGGATAGTGGCGTCCACAATGGTGGTCTCAGAGCACAATTATTCTTTTCTTTAACATTAGCATTGTTATAGTCATCTCAATGGTGATTAGAACGCGTTCTGAAAAACAGGGTGGTGAAAAAAATAGGGCATTCTGCGTTCAGATCTGAGGTATTGAGGGTGGGGGGGGTGAGAGAGAAGGGGCTTAGCAAACATAATTTATGCAGACTTTAACTAACCAAGGGAGAGAGCGGAACAAATCCTATTTTATGCAGGTGTTTTGGACTTGAAGCATAAGTGTATGGTCTAGTTACTGTTCAGACTGGAGAGAGAGAGAGAGAGAGAGAGAGAGAGAGAGAGAGAGAGAGAGAGAGAGAGAGAGAGAGAGAGAGAGAGAGAGAGAGAGAGAGAGAGAGAGAGAGAAGAGAGAGAGAGAGAGAGAGAGAGAGAGAGAGAGAGAGAGAGAGAGAGAGAGAGAGAGAGAGAGAGAGAGAGAGGGAGACGGTGAGAGTTGGGAGGAAGAGGGGGAATGGAGCAGTTGTGAATGGGACTGGTTCACCCAGAAACAGTTAGCCACTTGACTCACCTGGTTAATCTGATATATAGATATAAATATATATAATAAAGTTTTTCTTAGGCGGGAGGTGCTTACCTAGCAGTCCTTCCCCGACAGTACTCACCTATTTGTGCTTGCGGAGGTTGAGTTCTGGCTCTTTGGTCCCGCCTCTCAACCGTCAATCAACTGGTGTACAGGTTCCTGAGCCTATTGGGCTCTATCATATCTACACTTGAAACTGTGTATGGAGTCAGCCTCCACCACATCACTTCCTAATGCATTCCATTTGTCAACCACTCTGACACTAAAAAAGTTCTTTCTAATATCTCTATGGCTCATTTGGGCACTCAGTTTCCACCTGTGTCCCCTAGTGCGTGTGCCCCTTGTGTTAAATAGCCCGTCTTTATCTACCCTATCAATTCCTCTGAGAATCTTGTACGTGGTGATCATATCCCCCCCCTAACTCTTATGTCTTCTAGCGACGGGACTTCGTCGCTAGAAGTGTGTGTGTGTGTGTGTGTGTTATTTATTTCTCTATAAAACAAACACACACACACATACATCAACCCCCGCAAGCACAAATAGGTGAGCACATATCCCCTGGAAGCAGCCACGAGGGAGTGGGATCCTGGGCCAGGATTCACCACACATTTAAGTGAATGTCATTTAAGTGACCATTTACGAAACGTGTACATTGTGTAATTACCTAAGTGTAGTTACAGGATGAGAGCTACGCTCGTGGTGTCCCGTCTTCCCAGTACTCTTTGTCGTATAACGCTTTGAAACTACTGACGGTTTTGGCCTCCACCACCTTCTCACTTAGTTTGTTCCAACCGTCTACCACTCTGTTTGCAAAAGAAAATTTTCTAATATTTTTTCGGCACCTCTGTTTTCTTAGCTTGAATCTGTGTCCTCTTGTTCGTGAAGTTGCTGGTTTCAGGAATTCCTCTTTGTCAATTTGGTCTATTCCTGTTAGTATTTTGTAAGTGGTGATCATATCACCTCTCTTTCTTCTATCTTCTAGTTTTGGCATGTTTAATGCCTCTAGTCTCTCCTCGTAACTCTTGTTTTTCAGTTCCGGAAGCCATTTTGTAGCATGCCGTTGCACCTTTTCCAGTTTATTTATGTGCTTCTTGAGATTTGGGCACCATACAACTGCTGCATATTCCAATTTTGGTCTCACAAAAGTCATGAACAGTTTCTTTAGTATTTCACCATCCATATAATTAAAAGCAAGTCTGAAGTTGGAAAGCGACGCATACGCTCCTCTCACAATGTTCTTTATGTGTTCCTCTGGCGACAGCTTACTATCCAAAACCACCCCTAGGTCTCGTTCTTTATTAGAGTTCTGTAATTCCTTTCCACATAATTTGTAAGTTGTGTGTGGTCTATTTTCTCCGATTCCACATTCCATAACATGGCATTTATTCACATTGAATTCCATTTGCCACTTGACGCTCCAAGCACTTATTTTATCTAGATCAATTTGAAGGGCATTACAATCGTCTGCGTCTCCTATCTTCCCCAGTATCTTAGCATCATCCGCAAACATGTTCATATAATTCTGTATTCCTTCTGGTAGATCGTTTATGTAGACGATGAACATTACTGGTGCAAGAACTGAACCCTGTGGTACTCCGCTAGTAACACTCCTCCAGTCAGATACATTGTCTCTGATTACTGCCCTCATCTGTCTGTCAGTTAGAAAATTTTTCATCCATGTCAGAAGTTCTTCCTGTTTGAAAACCATACTGTCTGTCTGTTATTATGTCATTACTCTCTAGGTGTTCAACCCATTTGGTTTTAACTATTTTTTCTAGTGTTTTGACTACCACGCTTGTTATGATACGGGATATGGGTTTGATGAATTTATTGAAAATGCAACCTCATTTTCTTGTAGTTTCGTTTTTGTTAGTGCTACAATATCTGGAACTTTAAGCTGAATTATATCTTTTAGCTCCAATATTTTTTATCTCCCTCAATCTATGTTGGTATATACAATTTTTAGGAACATGTTCCCTTTCCCTTTTTAATTTACTCTCCCTTCCTCTAATGATTTTGTTGCTTTGTTTTTATGTACCATTTCACTAGCATTCCAGTACCTTTGTTGAACATGAAATTTATTTCTTCATTTCTATTCCCATTTAGACGTTTTAATTTACTGAGGTTCATTTTCAGCTTTTCTCTGTCTTCCTTTGAGAAGTAATGTCTTATTGACCAAAGTTTGCCATCCTCATCACACTGCAATTTCCTGGCATTTCTACGCACTTCCATCATTTGTTTCACTCCATTAAACGTCACCCTTAAGGAGCGGTTCTTGTCTTTCTCGTATTTTTTTATCCTAAAATCACTGACATTTTCCTTTGAATTCTTTTCCTAAACCTACAATTTTATCTGTGATTTTCATACCTTCTACTGCTCTCCTCCTCCTACTACTACTACTAACTACTTGCTCTCTCCAAACTTGATGATATATCCTTTTCTAAACACCTGAAAATTGTTATGGACTTACTTCTATCTAAAGTGTTTTGTAATAATTTGCTGCTGGTAACCTGTTCTTTCCCAATTGCTTGCCTAATTTCTGCTTCTTGTTAGTGATTTCTGGTTTTGACTTCCAAACACGCACTTCCTTGATAGTCTCTTTCTCTTTTACAACTTGGACATACGTCTCTTTATTTCCTCTTTGTCCTTTTCTAGTTCTTTATTAGCCTCCTCTATGTGAGTTGTGAATCAAATTTCTCTTTGCATATCCTTATCTAACTGCGTGAGCCCTCAGGGTTCCTTGGATTTGTTCACCATATGAGTCTATTTTCTTAATGTTTTCTTCAAATTCACCACTCTTCACTTTCCATGCCTCATTATCTTTGACTGGTTCTTTGATTTGTGCCTCCTGTCTCTTAACCTTATCAGTCATGCTGGTAATTTCCTTAACTTTCTGCAAAACACTTCCTTTCAAATTACAAAAGTCGATCTTGAGATCTTCATTTTCTTGTTCTAATTTAATTACGGTTTCTTCATAATTCTTTACCATGTCCTCAATAATCACTAACCTGCCAAGAAAATCACCTTTCATTATATTTTGTGCTGAAAATCCTTCCAAACATTCATCTGTTGGTGTGTTTTCCTCCCCTGTGGTGGCGGCCATCTTTGTTGTTGACATTCTTCTGTTTTGGTATATCAACTTTTCCAACCCAAATTTTTCACTCACACTAATTTCTCATCTCTTAGTTCTTTTTCAAATTCGCTATACCTCTGTGTATTCTGGGACACCACTTACAGCCCTCACCCCTCAGAGAATCAGAGAACACTGTATAAACATCAGAGGTCCACGGTTGTTCAACACCCTTCCAGCGAGCATAAGAAATATTGCCGGAACAACCGTGGACATCTTCAAGAGGAAACTAGATTTATTCCTCCAAGGAGTGCCGGACCAACCGGCCTGTGGTGGATATGTGGGCCTGCGGGCCGCTCCAGGCAACAGCCTGGTGGACCAAACTCTCACAAGTCAAGCCTGGCCTCGGGCCGGGCTTGGGGAGTAGAAGAACTCCCAGAACCCCATCAACCAGGTACCAGGTAACCCCTGTTCGCGCGTGTGTGTGCATGTGAGCTTCATGCTCTTGCAGGGAGGAGTTTTAGGTCTTAAGCCACTACCTTTCCAGCTATCAGTTAATGTCCTCGGAGATCTGTATGCGTGTTCCCTAAACATCTTTAGTTAACTCGCCCCATTTATTAAAGACTCTTAAGTTGAAAGAAAGACGCCTCTCGACGTCCCTGTGGCTCATTGTGTCTCCAATTTCAATCGACGCCTCCTCGTTCCACTATTACCCAAGGTGAACATTGCTTCTTTGTCCATTTTCCAGGTTCCTGTTAGCATCTTGTACGTTGCTATCATGTCCCCGCTGCTGCTTCTGTAGTCCAACATAGTGAGACCCAGTCTTCTGAGTCTTTCATTTCAGTTCATCTTCTTAATCTCTGGACCAGCCTTGTTGCACATTTCCTCACTCTAGTTTTCGAATGTGTTTTGCCAAATGGTTATTCTCTACCGTAGCTGCATACTCGAGGTTGTGTCTCACGTATGTTGTGTAAGGTATTTTGAACGCTTCCTTATCTAGGTTTAAGAAAGTATTCGAATATTTGCCAGTTTTCCATATGATGCAGACCTTGTTGTGCAGAGTTGTAGTTATGTCGACTCCCAGATCTTTATCCTCAGAGGTGGGAAGTTGTGTACTCAGCATTTACTGCTCCTTAGGCTATTCTAAGACCATCTCTAAAGTTTATTTAGATCCTCTTCATTCCCTTGTCTGAATTCTCATTAACTTTGTACCGCCAATAAACATGAATTTGAACGAGTCTGTGTCCTCTATCCGATCATTGACTTGAATTAGATCCTAATTCTGACACTTGTAACACCACGCTCGTGATCTGCCTCTTCTCACTGTGACCCTCTGTTTCCTGCCCGAGAGATATTAATTTATCTATCCAAGAACTCTCCCAGTTACTCAGCTTTTCCCTCAAGTTTGTACGAGTCTCCAGTGTGGGACGGTGTCACAGACCTTCTGACAGTTTAGAAAGACATATTCTGCTCATCCTTCCCTTTCCTGTTTTATGACTTGCATCTTGTAATAAAACTCAAGAAGATTTGTCGGTCAAGATTTCCTTCCCTGAACTCAGGTTGATGTTTAGTGACGAAGTCCAAATTCTCTAGATGTTCTGGGATTTTTTTTTACCTGATTGGTATCTCTATTGTCATGCTTCTGAGTGGCTCTGCCTCTTCCCATTCTTGTATGTATGTGACGTAACCAGTGTTTCCACCACAATCCACAACCACTACTTTCCACAACCACTACTTTCCACAACCACTACTTTCCACAACCACTACTTTCCACAACCACTACTTTCCACAACCACTACTTTCCACAACCACTACTTTCCACAACCACTACTTTCCACAACCACTACTTTCCACAACCACTACTTTCCACAACCACTACTTTCCACGACCACTACTTTCCACAACCACTACTTTCCACAACCACTACTTTCCACAACCACTACTTTCCACAACCACTACTTTCCACAACCACTACTTTCCACAACCGCTACTTTCCACGACCACTACTTTCCACGACCACTACTTTCCACAACCACTACTTTCCACAACCGCTACTTTCCACGACCACTACTTTCCACAACCACTACTTTCCACCACAATGGGGAAAGGATCTGGATCAGGGACATGCATTTTGACTGCAAAATGGTCTTGATTGCAAGTTGCAACGGTTTAATCCTCCCTGTTGGTTGGTTTGATTGCGTCCTCTCAAGACTGTCCCTGCTGGGCTTCATCCAGGAACCACATTCTGGAACGTCTCCTTCTTTCTGATTACCATCTGGAGATGGTAATCAAGCCCACTGTTCAACTTCATTCAGTGGACGGCAAACTTGTCTGTGAATTTCTTCATGGTGTGAGGAGAGTAACACCTTATGTACATCCTCCATGTCTTGGTTTTGATCTCTAGTGTCATCTGACACGGATTGTCAGACTATTACTGGTCAGAAACCATTATCCCTCTCTCTCTCTCTCTCTCTCTCTCTCTCTCTCTCTCTCTCTCTCTCTCTCTCTCTCTCTCTCTCTCTCTCTCTCTCTCTCTCTCTCTCTCTCTCACATTCTTTTCCAGAGTGGTAGACGGTTAACACCTTGCAAAGAAGGTGGTGGAGGCCAAAACCGTCAGTAGTTTCAAAGCGTTATACGACAAAGAGTGCTGGGAAGACGGGACAACACGAGCGTAGCTCTCATCCTGTAACTACACTTAGGTAATTATACTCACTCTCTCACACACACACACACACACTCTAGTTTGTTGAGTTTGCACACTCTGACAGTTGAGAGGCGGGACCAAAGAGCCAGAGCTCAACCCCCGCAACCACAACTAGGTGAGTACAAATAGGTGAGTACACACACACACACACACACACACACACACACACACACACAGAGTATGTGTGTGTGTGTGTGTGTGTGTACAATACAACACACACACACACACGCGTCTTAGAGTATGCCGCGCCATCATGGAGCCCCCACCTGAAGAAACACATAAAGAAACTGGAGAAGGTTCAGAGGTTTGCGACGAGGCTTGTCCCAGAGTTACGAGGGATGGGATATGAAGAGCGGCTGAAGGAACTGAACCTTACGACACTAGAGAAAAGAAGGGAGAGAGGAGATATGATAGAGACATATAAATACTCAGGGGAATTGACAAAGTGGAAATAGATGAAATGTTCACACGTAATAATAACAGAACGAGGGGACATGGGTGGAAACTGGAAACTCAGATGAGTCACAGAGATGTTAGGAAGTTTTCTTTTAGCGTGAGAGTAGTGGAAAAATGGAATGCACTTGGGGAACAGGTTGTGGAAGCAAATACTATTCATACTTTTAAAACTAGGTATGATAGGGAAATGGGACAGGAGTCATTGCTGTAAACAACCGATAGCTGGAAAGGCGGGATCCAAGAGTCAATGCTCGATCCTGCAAGCACATATAGGTGAGTACATATAGGTGAGTACACACACACACACACACACACGATAAGACAGATAAAGGTAGATAAAGACAGGCTCTTTAACCCACCTGTGTCCCCTAGTGGCACACGCACTAGGGGACACAGGTGGAAATTGAGTGCGTAAATGAGCCACAGAGATATTAAAAAAACTTTTTTAGTGTCAGAGTGGTTGACAAATGGAATGCATTAGGCAGTGATGTGGTGGAGGCTGACTCCATACACAGTTTCAAATGTAGATATGATAGAACCCAGTAGGCTCAGGAACCTGTACACCTGTTGATTGACGGTTGAGAGGCGGGACCAAAGAGCCAGAGCTCAACTCCCGCAAAATAGGTGAGTACTTTCCTCTCATGCCCGGAGGTACTTTTCACCAGTCACCACATTCTCGATTTCCTCTCACTATATCTCCTCAACCCAACAACCCTCTGTCCGAAACATCTTAATCTTTCTTCCCTCCTTTTCATTTCCCCTTCACTTCCCTCCTTCTCTCCTCCATCTATTTCAACACTCCCCTTTTGCCTCTTTTTCACATAATTCACTTTTCTTCCCTTGCTTCCCCTTTCTTCTGCCTCATTCTTTTCTTACCCCTCCTCATCCCTTCCTCACATTCCTCAACGCCACATAAAAACGACGGTCAACGAATGGTCCCAAAATGTCTCTAATCTCCCGCTATCTGTTAATGAATCACAAGTTGTAATGGAATTTTCCACCTTTTCTCTCATCGTGAGAAATTATTTTGAGGGTTTTTGTCCCAAAATGATGTCCCAGTCAGCTCTTGTTGACCGCTTGACCACACGATGCTGCTCTTGTTGACCGCTTGACCGCACGATGCTGCTCTTGTTGACCGCTTGACCACTCGATGCTGCTCTTGTTGACCGCTTGACCACACGATGCTGCTCTTGTTGACCGCTTGACCGCACGATGCTGCTCTTGTTGACTGCTTGACCACACGATGCTGCTCTAGTTGACTCCTTGACCGCACGATGCTGCTCTTGTTGACTCCTTGACCGCACGATGCTGCTCTTGTTGACTCCTTGACCGCACGATGCTGCTCTTGTTGACTCCTTGACCGCACGATGCTGCTCTTGTTGACTGCTTGACCACACGATGCTGCTCTTGTTGACTCCTTGACCGCACGATGCTGCTCTTGTTGACTCCTTGACCGCACGATGCTGCTCTTGTTGACTGCTTGACCGCACGATGCTGCTCTTGTTGACTGCTTGACCACACGATGCTGCTCTTGTTGACTCCTTGACCGCACGATGCTGCTCTTGTTGACTGCTTGACTGCACGATGCTGCTCTTGTTGACTCCTTGACCGCACGATGCTGCTCTTGTTGACTGCTTGACTGCACGATGCTGCTCTTGTTGACTCCTTGACCGCACGATGCTGCTCTTGTTGACCGCTTGACCGCACGATGCTGCTCTAGTTGACCGCTTGACCGCACGGTGCTGCTCTAGTTGACCGCTTGACTGCACGATGCTGCTCTTGTTGACTGCTTGACCACACGATGCTGCTCTTGTTGACTCCTTGACCGCACGATGCTGCTCTTGTTGACTGCTTGACTGCACGATGCTGCTCTTGTTGACTCCTTGACCGCACGATGCTGCTCTTGTTGACCGCTTGACCGCACGATGCTGCTCTAGTTGACCGCTTGACCGCACGATGCTGCTCTTGTTGACCGCTTGACCGCACGATGCTGCTCTTGTTGACCGCTTGACCGCACGATGCTGCTCTTGTTGACCGCTTGACCGCACGATGCTGCTCTTGTTGACCGCTTGACTGCACGATGCTGCTCTTGTTGACCGCTTGACCGCACGATGCTGCTCTGGTTGACCGCTTGACCGCACGATGTTGACCGCTTGACCGCACGATGCTGCTCTTGTTGACCGCTTGACTGCACGATGCTGCTCTTGTTGACCGCTTGACCGCACGATGCTGCTCTGGTTGACCGCTTGACCACACGATGTTGACCGCTTGACCGCACGATGCTGCTCTTGTTGACCGCTTGACCGCACGATGTTGCTCTTATTGACCGCTTGACCACACGATGCTGCTCTTGTTGACCGCTTGACCGCACGATGACCAATAATAGACAGTACCTGCAGCCAGTGTTCGGTCGCGCCGAGCCACATCTCAAGGGAGCCGGTCGGCCGAGCGGACAGCACGCTGGATTTGTGATCCTGTGGTCCTGGGTTCGATCCCAGGCGCCGACGAGAAACAATGGGCAGAGTTTCTTTCACCCTATGCCCCTGTTACCTAGCAGTAAAATAGGTACCTGGGTGTTAGTCAGCTGTCACGCGCCGCTTCCTGGGGTGGAGGCCTGGTCGAGGACCGGGCCGCGGGGACACTAAAGCCCCGAAATCACCTCAAGATAACCTCAAGATAACCTCGACCGTCCAGAAATAGACAGAACTTTGGATTAGATTCTGTGTTACATTTTCCAGTTTATTAAAATCACGTTTAATTCAGTAACACAAAACGTGAACTTTCTTGAGATCAAACTGTTTGTTATTGTTCATTTGTCGTTACAACTCCTGTAATTAAGATCATTGTAGGAGGATATGCTGCTTGATGCTGTATTAGTCAGCTGTATTTCTTGTATCTTGTCAATACTTTTACACAGTTCGTGGCCTGAATTTTCAGATACAGCGTGTATTGTGAAGTTAACATTCTATTACTCAAAGCTGCAAACTGTATTTTTGTACTAAATTAATACTTATTAACTTAATTCTAACAATTTACGATACACATATTTACGGGTAAAACAGTTTGGGCTACGAAAATTGTTGTTACAATTATGCTGTTTCTGGGTGACATCTCTCAGGTGTTCTGGGTGACGTCTCTCAGGTGTTCTAGGTGACATCTCTCAGGTGTCCTGGGTGACATCTCTCAGGTGTTCTGGGTGACATCTCTCAGGTGTTCTGGGTGACATCTCTCAGGTGTTCTGGGTGACATCTCTCAGGTGTCCTGGGTGACATCTCTCAGGTGTTCTGGGTGACATCTCTCAGGTGTTCTAGGTGACATCTCTCAGGTGTTCTGGGTGACATCTCTCAGGTGTTCTGGGTGACATCTCTCAGGTGTTCTGGGTGACATCTCTCAGGTGTTCTGGGTGACATCTCTCAGGTGTCCTGGGTGACATCTCTCAGGTGTTCTAGGTGACATCTCTCAGGTGTTCTGGGTGACATCTCTCAGGTGTTCTGGGTGACATCTCTCAGGTGTTCTGGGTGACATCTCTCAGGTGTTCTGGGTAACATCTCTCAGGTGTTCTGGGTGACATCTCTCAGATGTTCTGGGTGACATCTCTCAGGTGTTCTGGGTGACATCTCTCAGGTGTTCTGGGTGACATCTCTCAGGTGTTCTGGGTGACATCTCTCAGGTGTTCTGGGTGACATCTCTCAGGTGTTCTGGGTGACATCTCTCAGGTGTTCTGGGTGACATCTCTCAGGTGTTCTGGGTGACATCTCTCAGTTCTGGGTGTCTCTGGGTGACATCTCTCAGGTGTTCTGGGTGACATCTCTCAGGTGTTCTGGGTGACATCTCTCAGGTGTTCTGGGTGACATCTCTCAGGTGTTCTGGGTGACATCGGGTGTTCTCAGGTGTTCTGGGTGACATCTCTCAGGTGTTCTGGGTGACATCTCTCAGGTGTTCTGGGTGACATCTCTCAGGTGTTCTGGGTGACATCTCTCAGGTGTTCTAGGTGACATCTCTCAGGTGTTCTGGGTGACATCTCTCAGTGTTCTGGGTGACATCTCTCAGGTGTTCTGGGTGACATCTCTCAGGTGTTCTGGGTGACATCTCTCAGGTGTTCTGGGTGACATCTCTCAGGTGTTCTGGGTGACATCTCTCAGGTGTTCTGGGTGACATCTCTCAGGTGTTCTGGGTGACATCTCTCAGGTGTTCTGGGTGACATCTCTCAGGTGTTCTGGGTGACATCTCTCAGGTGTTCTGGGTGACATCTCTCAGGTGTTCTGGGTGACATCTCTCAGGTGTTCTGGGTGACATCTCTCAGGTGTTCTGGGTGACATCTCTCAGGTGTTCTGGGTGACATCTCTGTTCTGGGTGACATCTCTCAGGTGTTCTGGGTGTGACATCTCTCAGGTGTTCTAGGTGACATCTCTCAGGTGTTCTGGGTGACATCTCAGGTGTCCTGGGTGACATCTCTCAGGTGTCCTGGGTGACATCTCTCAGGTGTCCTGGGTGACATCTCTCACGTGTTCTGGGTGACATCTCTCAGGTGTTCTGGGTGACATCTCTCAGGAGTTCTGGGGTGACATCTCTTAGGTGTTTTGGCTGACATCTCTCAGGTGTTCTGGGTGACATCTCTCAGGTGTTCTGGCTGACATCTCTCACGTGTTCTGGGTGACATCTCTCATGTGTTCTGGGGTGACATCTCTCAGGTATTCTGGGTGACATCTCTCAGGTGCTTTTGTGATATCTCAGGTGTTCCAGCCTGACATCTCTCAGGTGTTCTGGGCGACATCTCTCAGGTGTTCTGGGTGACATCTCTCAGGTGTTCTGGGTGACATCTCTCAGGTGTCCTGGGTGACATCTCTCAGGTGTTCTGGGTGACATCTCTCAGGTGTTCTGGGTGACATCTCTCAGGTGTTCTGGGTGACATCTCTCAGGTGTTCTGGGTGACATCTCTCAGGTGTTCTGGGTGACATCTCTCATGTGTTCTAGGTGACATCTCTCAGGTGTTCCAGCCTGACATCTCCCAGATGTAAGCTAGGCTCCTCCCTTTATTTATCGGGCACTTAACCTTAGCTTATCCCGAGCTAAATATTCCTAATTGCATCGTTCAGCGTGTCGCCAGGTGTATGTGTCGGGTCGCTAAATTTACGATCGTCAGATAACATTATGGAACAGTTTTTAAATCCGGCGAGTCTTTTGCGTCCCAGAACTGTTGCTGGGTCTTGTTTGTTTGGTTGTTTATTATGGGTGTTGCTTTGTTTATTGTGTTGTTGTTTGTCGTTGGTCACAGCTGGTGCTTCTGTTATCTGTATTTGTTATCATTGTGTACAGGTGCTCAGTTGTTTATATATTTTAACAGCTCCAAAACCTCTTCACAAGTCGTTATGTCAACAAAATGTTTCGGAGGAAATCTCTGTCATTAGACAGAAAACAAATCTGTCTAAAATGTTAAATATAGAATACATTTTTAACATAAATTTGTCTTAGTGTATTCACTCTGTCTGTTCTCTCCTAGTTGTGATTGCGGGGCTGAGCTTCGGCTCTTTGGTCCTGACTCTCGACTGTCAATCAACAGGTTCCTGAGCCTATTAGGCTCTATCAAATCTACATTTGAAACTGTATGGAGCCAGCCTTCACCACATCACTGCCTAATGCATTCCATCTGTTAACTACTTTGACAAAATTCTTCCTATCTATGGCTCATTTGGGTACTCAGTTATCTACCTGTGTCCCCTAGTGCGTGTCCCACCCTTGCTAAACAGTTTCTTTGTCCACCCTGTCAATTTCTCCGAGAATTTTAGTGATGGTTATTATATCTCCATTTACTCTTCTGTCTTCTAAGGACGTGAGGCTTAGGTTCCGTAGCCTTTTCTCGTAACTCATACCTATTAATTCTTGGACGAGCCTGGTGGCATACCTCTGAATCTTCTCTAACTTTAACTGGGTATGGACTCCAGGCTGGAGCTGCATGCTTCAGGATTGGTCTTACATAAGTGGTATACAGGGTCCTGAACGATTCCTTACACAAGTTTCTAAAGGCAGTTTTTATGTTGGCCAGTCTAGCATATGCCGCTGATGATATTCTTTTGATGTGGGCCTCTGGGGACAGGTTCGGTGTGATATCAACCCCCAGATCTTTCTCTCTATTTGACTCTTGCAGGATTTCACCTCCCAGATGGTACCTTGTGTTCAGCCTCCGGCTCCCTTCGCTTAATTTCATTACCTTACACTTTCCTGAGTTGAACTTTAGCAGCCATTATCTAGACCATTCCTCCAGTTTGTCCAGGTCATCCTGTAGTCTCTGTCTATCTTCATCCGTCTTGATTCTTCTCATAATTTTTGCATCATCAGCAAACATTGAGAGGAACGAGTCTATACCCTCCGGAAGATCGTTGACATATATCAGAAACAGGATGGGTCCAAGTACAGAGCCCTGTGGGACTCCACTGGTAACATCTCGCCACTCTGATATCTCTCCCCTCACAGTTACTCGTTGCTTAGATACTCCCTTATCCACTGGAGCACCTTACCTGTTATTCCTGCCTGTTTCTTTAACTTTTGTATCAGCCTCTTATGGGGGTATTGGGTTAAAGACTTTCGGACAGTCTAAGAAAATGCATTCTACCCACCCTTCTCTTTCTTGCCAAGTTGTGGTTGCCTGGTCACTGAATTCTATTAAACCCGTGAGGCAGCATGAGATTCCTGAACCCATACTGGTGGTGTGTTACATAGCTCCTTATCTCCAGATGTTCTACGAGTTTATTCCCCGTGGTCTTTTCCATCACCTTGCATGGTATACAAGTTAGGGAAACTGGCCTGTAGTTCAGGCTCTAACCTGTCATAATTTTTGTATATTGGAACTAAATTAGCTGTCTTCCAGCTTTCCGGTAGGTCTCCTATTTCCAGTGACTTCTTGTATACCATAGAGAGTTGGACATTTAGTGCTTCTGCACACTCTTTTAGTATCTACGGTGAGATTCGGTCAGGATCAACAGCTTTTGTCGCATACAACTTCAAGAGATTCATTTTATCACTGGTAAATCAAATTTCTGCAAGGTTGCTTGGCTTGCCGCCTCCTTTCTCAGTACAGGGACCTTGCTCTATTGCGAAGAACTCCGAAAATCTCTTGTTGAGTTCTTCACACACCTCTATGTCATTCTCTGTGTATCGGGTTTTCCTTTTTCTCAGTTTCATCACTTGTTCCTTCACTACTGTTTTCCTATTCCTCCTCTGAGGTGAATTTCCCGTGAGAAGAATGGCTAGTTCCTGAATGTAGCCAAGTGACGACCCATGAGTGACTTGCAGCAAGATGAGTCAAAGCACCCATGAGTGACTTGCAGCAAGATGAGTCAAAGCGCCCATGAGTGACTTACTGCAAGATGAGTCAAAGCGCCCATGAGTGACTTGCAGCAAGATGAGTCAAAGCGCCCATGAGTGACTT